TTGTGCACACTTACTGTAAACTCGATGCTATTACTGTCTGCTCTGAATATTATTGTTATGTTATGTAATGATTAGTGAATTAATTTCACTTTTGCTATAAATATATGTTTCAACACAGAAATCACTTTCATTTATATTTATTTATAGATTGTATTTTAGAAACAAAAAACATAAAGTTTGATAATATTTATAAAAATATTTTATATAAATAATTGTTATAAATAATTATTTATCACTAAATAAATTGTGACTACAAAATATATGGCAATTATAATCAATTGCTTATATAATCAATGGTTGTTTTGCTGTTGTTTTAAAGTTTGCAGTGATATTGGTTGTTTTAGTCTCAAATAAGAAAAACTTCATATAATTAAACATTGTCATAATAATAACTTTAATCTTACCAATATTACCATTTAATTATTATGGATATGAAATACTTTAAATATTTACTATTTTTACTATCAATAGTAAAAATCTCGGGTAATTACAAAATAAATAAAATTTTATAATTAAAAACTATAATACTAAACATTTTTGCAGCTGGTCTTGAATGCGGACAATTCACTCATGTATTCACGGAGCGTATTGTTGGTGGAATTCACGCCAACCTTGGTGAATTCCCGTGGCAAGTGAGCATGCAGAGACAGGCGGGCAGTCGGGCGCCCGGCAGACAATGGATGCCCGGACCGGGCGTATGGCCACAGCCGGGCCACTGGCAACAGCCCAGCGTTAGCCAATGGCAACAACCCATACACCACACGATTGGCGTCAAACCGACACCACCGGGCGGTTGGCCCGCGCCTCCCAGTCGACCCGTTCCATACCCGCCCGGACACATACACCCGCCCACACCAGGCAGTCCACCGGTGAAACCCGTACAACAACTGCCAGCCCAACCGGCGCCACCACCACCGCAACCACAACCCGTGCCACAGCCGCCACCACTACCGGCCACACCTGTGCCCACATTCCCACCTCCACCACCACCAGCATCGCAACCACACCCGGCGCCACCCCAACAGCAGCCACAGCCGCTGCCGCAGCCCCGACCCCCACAGCCAGCACCGGCACCGGCGGCCCCCTCTGTAACGCAAGGCCGGTGGCAGCACTTTTGCGGCGGCTCTATCATCAACGAGAACTGGATCTTAACGGCAGCTCATTGTGTGGAAAAGTATGCAAAATTAAGCTATACATAACCTCTACCCCATAAAAATTAACTAGATTCTAATTCTAATTGTGTTCTAAATGTAATTGTATTGCATTTGTATGACAGCATGAAATATTCGTACACTCCCGGCTCCATACGGATAGTGTTGGGTACAGTGGACTGGCGTAACACCGCCGCCGGCGCGCCCCAAATGATAGCCATCGGTCGTATTGTAGTGCACGACGGCTGGAACCGCAACACCGGCCAGAATGACATCGCACTCCTCCAGACCTCGTCGGCCATACAGTTCCAGACGTCACCCGACGGCACAGTACTGGCCAACAAAGTGTGTCTCTCCAACACAGCCAACGCCGAGTACGCGGGCACTGCTGTGTCAAGCGGTTGGGGTTATCTCAATAAAAACTCGAGAGTATCGCCGGATCTGTTGCGCAAAGTGGAGATACCGGTTGTCGACTACAATACGTGCAAAAACGCATTCAGTCGCGTCATTGGTGTCACACAGAATCAGGTCTGCGCCGGTCAGGCGCCCAAAGGCAACTGTATGGTACGTATAGGGGGTTAAATTATGCTGGGCTCGATTATATAGTTTAACCATGACACTTTTTAATAGTGAATTGAATGCCAATTAACTAGTTTTAGTGTAATGCAATTAATAATTATACTGTTTTTTGTATGAATAGGGTGATTCCGGTGGCCCGTTAGTGCAGACCACGGGCAATAAGGCCACGCAAATCGGTATAGTGTCCTTCTCGATCCCGTGTGCCGTTCACGGCTACCCCGATGTCTTCACCAAAGTGTCCAAATATATCGATTGGATTAATCAAAATACCAATAATGCTGTCGGCGTGTCATCCATGGGTTAGACCGCCCGTCCCTTCCGGTGCTCCGCGAGTACACTATATATAAATATTTGTTCAGTTTTTATACATTATTCAGTGAAATATACATAACAATTACATAACACATACAGTTTACATATGCCCTATAGTCTGTGTATATAATTATATTATAAATTGTGATTTTACATTTAGTTTTAGACACTTTAAAAATTTTACATAGTGATCAGGATAAGTTTACACTCGCACGCCCTTTCCAATGGTGTACAATCTCTATAATATACTCTTATAGAGTTAATTATACACTTGGTAGAAATTTAGTCAAACAATTTACTGGCAATTTATATACACTATTGGATATAATGTGCAGTATATTGATATTATTTTGTTTAAATAGCCAATAGTAGTAATTATTGACTAAATTTTAGTTATTTTCATTTTAACATGCTAAATCTGTATATTAAAGTGAGAGTAGACTGTATGACACTAAACATTACACACACTACACTTCATACATAATTACACTAAACAATCATGATAAATCACAAACAAATTGTATTATACAACACGTACAAAAAACAAAACTATATTACAAACACTACATGATTAAAAAACATTAAACAAACTTGATACATTTAAAAAATGACAAAATACAGCCCAAACACCGACACAAACACTAAAGCATTTAATATTCAATACAGAGTTAATACTCAATGAAAAAGCGATACAAAAAGCATATTAAATAAAATTAAACAATTAATTAAGTGCCACAAAATAAAAAACTTGTTTTTCAAATCAAATCTAGATTCAATTTACTATTGCAATATTGCATTGAATATATACAGCATGTCTTAAATACCATGTTCAGAGCAGTAGTAGTCATGTACAGTACCTGTGGTGTAGTGGTTATCACATCTGTCTAACACACAGAAGGTCCCAGGTTCGAAACCTGGCAGGTACATTGTTACATTTTTTTTAAATTCTTTATAATTATTTTTAACCATAACAACTTAATTAATTTTATTTTAATGTTATTAAGTTTTTGCCCTATGTAATAGTGTACTAATATATTTGTATATTATTGAAATCATTTTGTTTGAGCTCTCTATGTGTGAGCCCTTATAATACGGAGACGTTTTGTTTGAATGATTATATGAGTGTTTGAACTTAATATAAGGTTTAACGTGGAGGGCATTCATAAACACCGACACTATATGTGTAAATGATTTTACCCCTGTATACAATAGAGTGCATTTGTTAATCAATTCATCCTTTTTAATTAAATATTAGTTAAAATATAAGTTATAATTAGTAACTAGCTCAATAACTAAAAGTATATTAGATTTGGTTTATGTTATAGATTTTCACCAAGGCAGATAATTAAAATTATAGTTAAAATTGTTTCCCTAAATAAAGTTTAAATACAATAAAACCAAATTCAATAACCTATGTTGGTATGTTATCAAGGTATCAAGATAATCAATGAACTACTGCACATTATATAATCATGTTAGACATAACATACCCGTGTGTTTGTCTACCTGTTTATAACAACAACAACATTATCCCATGAAATGCATGTAATAATAGATATGAACTGATATTTCGCATAATTTTGATACAAACGCCAGATTTTATAAATCAAATATTCATTTTTAATCAAATAATTAAAAACAAATAATAATTACAAATTAAATTAAAACAAATCTAAATTAAAAGCAAAGCCTATAGGAAACACATTTTGCCTTTGGATACGTTCTCGACATCCCATAAACACAAGTGTTTATTACAACAATCCGTATGTTGTGTACAATTTTGGCCCAACTTTTGGCACCTGATAAAAGTTGTTTGTCTCACAATTTGGGAACCGTTTCGGTGATAATCACTAATTTTTTGTGGCAAACTTCTGTCATCCAATTGTTCACTAAATACACTGTTTATTAATGGAGAAAATTAATTAAAAATTCAGTTTTAATTACAAGTAATTCAATGATTACTGACTTGTGAGAGACAAGTCTGCCATTAATTATAAATAAAAGTTAATTAAATAATATTAATAAAAAATAAATAAAACCATAATGAATTAAATTAATTTAATACCCAAAATATACGATTAGTACAATAATTGATACAAATATGGCAAACATTTAGACTTAAGGTTAACTATTTAGTTGTAATGCTAAACACAATGGCATTCAAATTGTATTGTGATATACATTACATTCAATATTAAAAAATAACACAAAATATAAATTAATTTGTATTAAAAGTCTGGTAATAAAATTACTATAAATCTATGTTTAAACACATGAATGCAATAAAAGGCATAGCCATGGAAACTGATATTACATCTAAAAAAGACCCCGATCATTATATTGGAAATGTTTTAACATAACTATTATTTGAAACATTGTTTAGTTTTAGTTTAAACATTATAAACTTTATAATAAATAAGTTTAATAATTAATTAATACTATTATAGGATTTAACTAACATGTTTGATTAGCACACCATAACATCCATGCGTGGCTATCCTGACTATACACTACAGACTATAACAATGTGTATAAATGTATGAATTTATATTTATAAAGTATTATTTATAGCAAAATAACACAATTATTACATCAAAAATGATAAAATTGACGAAATGTTTCTCAATGTGAGTGCATTTACAATTTAAAGTTATTTAATATTGTTGTGTCGGCGCTGCTGTCGAACAGTAGACGTGCGGTGACTCGGATTTTAAAGTCGGGTGCAATTCAGGCTCAGTCTCAGAGGTCAATGCTGTCCACTCGGTTGCAGCGGACAAAATATGGGAACAATAAATAAATAACAAGTTTATGATTTAACACTTTTAATGTTAAAACAGAAAAACAGAAATAAAATATGGCATCAATTTGTTTGCCTAGAAATCGAGATATCACTTACTCTCCCATCGGGGGAGGCGTGGCTTGATATGGGATCTTTATAAACTATCTGGTGTTATTTTTTTTAAATAAATTACAATTAAACCTTATGTAATCTTTTATTTGAATATGCTACCGAATAAAACGCTATATTTTGTTTAATAATAAGTTGGCTTTTTATATTTAACTATTACACAATGAATTCATCGGTGGTGTTTGAGCAGAACTTGACACGTCATAAAACGACCAAGTTAACTTTATATATTTAACTACTACACAATGAATTCATCGCTGGTGTTTGAGCAGAACTTGACACGTCATAAAACGACCAGGTTGGCTTTTTATATTTAACTATTACACAATGAATTCATCGGTGGTGTTTGAGCAGAACTTGACACGTCATAAAACAACCAAGTTAACTTTATATATTTAACTACTACACAATGAATTCATCGGTGGTTTTTGAGCAGAACTTGACACGTCATAAAACGTCCAAGTTGGCTTTTATATTTAACTATTACACAATGAATTCATCGGTGGTGTTTGAGCAGAACTTGACACGTCATAAAACGACCAAGTTAACTTTATATATTTAACTATTACACAATGAATTCATCGGTGGTGTTTGAGCAGAACTTGACACGTCATAAAACAACCAAGTTAACTTTATATATTTAACTACTACACAATGAATTCATCGGTGGTTTTTGAGCAGAACTTGACACGTCATAAAACGTCCAAGTTGGACAGGTTGGCTTTTATATTTAACTACTACACAATGAATTCATCGCTGGTGTTTGAGCAGAACTTGACACGTCATAAAACGACCAGGTTGGCTTTTATATTTAACGACTACATAATGAATTTATCGCTGGTGTTTGAGCAGAACTTGACACGTCATAAAACGACCAAGTTGGCTTTTTATATTTAACTACTACACAATGAATTCATCGCTGGTGTTTGAGCAGAACTTGACACGTCATAAAACGACCAAGTTAACTTTTTATATTTAACTATTACACATAAATTCATTGTGTAGTAGTTAAATATAAAAAGCCAACTTGGTCGTTTTATGACGTGTCAAGTTCTGCTCAAACACCAGCGATAAATTCATTATGTAGTCGTTAAATATAAAA